GGTCGGAGAGCATCTGCATTTCAGGTCAGTCCTCCTGGAATTGTGAGATACGGTGCGTGGTTGCAAGAAAAGGCGAGCCTCACGTTGATGCCAAACAGCCGCCGGATTTTGAAGATAAGCCCGCTGGCACAAACTACAACCTCGTCGTCCTCTGGGTTCTGTTTTGAAATTCCTGTCAGCGTGCGGTTTTATCATACATCAGGTGCATTTACCAGCTTGTGGGGGCCCTCACCTTGGGAGAAAACTCCCTGCAGCCGCCAGCATCTGCTGCATCGGACCAACCACCGCCGACGCCCAGGTTCAAGACTCCATGGGCATCTACTGTGAGTCCAACCGAGAAGGCGCGGCTGCCTGACTCCCACACATTGAGCAGGCACTTCTTGGTGCTGTAGGTATCCCTGATAATAGCCAGACCGTGCCTCTTGATATCCTCGCCTCTCGGGCTAGCCATGAGAGCATCGATGTTGTCGTACACCCAGCGTGAGAATGGGGACTCGTGGAGGAAGCTGCGGGAGCTGATGGGTTTTACAGTTATAAGGACCGCCCCGGCGTTCTCGCTGCCCTGGTATTTGTAGAACGCCTTACCCGTTGCGGCGCCCTCGGGCAATCTGCCGGAGTTTTCGCGGTAAGCAGCGATGTACGCACCTGTTGGTCCAACTTCAAGGAGAGAGAGAGAGCACACGCACCTGGCCATTACCTCAGCAGTGATATCAGACTCGGTGACTGACGAGGAGTACAAGGGCGACCACCCCTCATCGAGGGTGGAGTCGTTCGCCAACAGCTCTTCCTGGGGCGGCTTGAAGCCCTTGGCCTTGAGGTCTTCGCTGTCGTCCAGCTGGGCAATGGGCTGCCACTTGGCGTTGCTGTCCCAGTAGCCAACCGAGCCAGGCCGCATCTCAGTCGTAGACGGAGGTCTGTAGAGGCAGCGGCCGTAGCCGAACTTGGCCATCAGTTTCGCATACGTCGCGTCCATTATGTCACGTGATCTGCGGCTGAATCTTGTAGTTAAAGAGAGCGAGGAGGAGGAGAAAGTGGTTGCGGAGGGGGGGGGCAGTGCTGGGTCAGTAGGTGCAAGTCTGTCTAATTAATAATCCAATCTAATACTAGAGAGGCTGAGCTGCGCGATTTGCGCGATCTCAGGCAGGCAATCATCCCCGCTTTTAGTTCCATCAGGCCACCGCCGATATGTTTTCCTATCCATGATTGGGCGACACAGGCTCCACCTCAGCTCAGTGCCTCACCTGATTGAACGACATGCGTACGTGAGCTGAGCTGCGATCAACTAGATCTAGCGATGGCTGCCCATGACATGCCCGCACACGCCCCACGCCCCACGCCGACCTCGTTGCGCAGTACTGCCCGTCGATGGAGACTCCCGAGGAGCATGCGCGGACGCATTGCGCCCGCGCCGACACGCTGCTGCAGAGATACACCAAAAGTCATTCCGACCATGTCCAGAATGAACAGCTCTCCCTCGACGCCCTCGCCGAGCTCGACGCAGCAGCTTCCCGCACTAACCCCAGCGAACTGCCAGAGCGTATTACCCAGATCACCGCACTCAGCGCGAGCATCCATCTCGAGCGCCTGCTTCGCATAGGCCTAAAGCCCGACGCGGATGCGGCAGAGTTAGGTCTGAGAGCGCTCCTCAGAGACCAACAACCCGCCTCGGCTAGCTACTGCCTGACGCTGAGAAAATTGCTGATGATCCTCCACATTCGCTACGAAAGGACGGCCGACAGACAGTTTGTCCTGGAGAGTCTCGACTTGGTTGGAAGCGCCATCGCGGGCGTGGGCCAAGATGATGATGATGATGATGATGCTGCATGCCTTCCCGTCTTGCTGGGAGCCTGTGGCCAGGCGCTGATCGACCTCTCCGAGTGCGCTAATTCGCCGTCGGCACTGGAAATGGCCATCGATGTTCTGCGTGCCGCAGCGGATGCCGCCCAAAGTTCGAACGCTGTTGGTTCAAGCGAGTGGGTGCTCACCCAGCAGACCCTGGCGGAAGCGTTACGTCGGCGCTTCGAGGCGATGGGAGACGAGCGCGACATTGCCGAGGCCCAGGCAATCTTTGACGATGACGACAGCAATGCAAGTCTCTCCCCCCGCGAGACGCTGTCGTGTTTGATGGCTCGGCTGCGTGTCTTGCACTCGCGTTGGAGACTCTGTCCCGGGGGCGCTTCGCTCAAGACCCTGATAATGGAGTATTCCCAGGCCAACCAGCTCCTTCTCCTCAATGATCGGAGCCCCATCCGCCCCGAGCTCTTCCAGGCCACCGGAGCTGCATTCAACGAGATGTTCTTCGACCCGAATCACAAACGGGGAGTGGCCTTTGCCTCCATCCTGGGAGGATACCGGGCGGGAGAAGAGTTGCTGTCGACGTGGGACAAGAAACCCGCCGACTGCCCAGGGTTTGCCCCATACTTGTTCGCAATGGGCAGGGCCTGGGAGCTCCAGTTCCACGCATACTACTCGCCCGAGGCCCTCGGTGTTGCCTACGGCATGTTTTCCCAGTGCCTCAGACTGACCAGTCCCGACTCGAGCCACTACGCGCTAAGAGCAGCTGCAATGATCGGAGCGCAGCGGATGAAGCGGGACCTGGGCTTCGCCGGGGACAAGCCGGGAGACGAATCCGCGATAAAGACTCTGACGACGGTCTTGCTTGGCAAGCTGCCCTTGGAAGCAAAAGCAAAAGCCGCCGTTGCCACCGAGTTGGGATATACTGCGTTGCGCCAGCACGACAGCACCGCCGCCACCGCTCCCCAGAAGACTTCCTCCTGGTTGGACCAGGCGATCCGCCACTTCCGGAAGGCCGTGTCGTTCAGCTGCACCGACAAACTCTCCCAAGTGTATGCCCTCAAAACGCTCGCAGGCGTCCTGGCAACGAGAGCAAACAGTCATCTTCAGCGAGACCTCAAGGAGCTCGCCCTGACGGACTGCGATGACGCCCTACATGTCCTCGAGCGTCTCGCCGCGGCCTGCCAGGGCATCAAAGTCAACCTGCAGGAACGGTACGACACCCTCGGCGATGTCAGGGAGGTGCAGTTCAGTATACACGGCGACCAAAGATACGCAGAGAATGCCATTGAAGCCTGGGAGAAGCTATACGCAGGAAAGGACGGCGTCTCCATCTCGCGTCTGATGACGGCCACCAAGGCGTCGGCCCTCCAGCAGCGCATTTCCGGGGACCACGGCAGGGCAGCCCGGGTGTACAGGAGCGTCGTCCTGACATTTCTCCAGGTCGTGTCGCCGTCGGATACCAGGCCGGAGCAGATATGGAAGCTGCGGCTCCTCGGCCGTCTGAGCGTGCGGGCGCTGGGCGAAGCCCTCATGGCCGGGTGGCCCGCGGAGGAAGTCCTCGAGGTCGCCGAGCGGTGCCGCAGCGTCATCTGGAATCTGGTGCTCGGTCGAAAAGCCAGCGTCGCGGACCTCGAGGCTAGACACCGGGCCCTGGCTGCGCGCTTCGTGAAAGCAAGGGCGCTCTTGGCGAGAAGCCCGAAAGCTGCGGCCGAGGCAGCAGCTGGGGACAGGTCATGGGGAGGGCTGCTGGCTTCCAACCAATTCCATACTGCGGATGAGTACAACGCGGTGCTTGCCGAGATACGGCAGCAGCCTGGGTTCGAAGACTTTCTCCTGCCCGGACTTTCCGCCGAAAGGCTGCTCTCGGTGTCCTCGGAGGGCCCAGTCGTCATGTTCGTCCAGAGCAACGTGTCATCCCATGCCGTGGTCGTTTCGCAAGCGGGAGTCTTGGCCGAGCCCCTGCCAGATTTCAGTCAGAAGCGCTGCGAAGAGCGCTACAGGCACTTCAACACCTTCTTGGAGGTGCGCCAGAAAGACCCCGCCAGGGCAGCAGAGGTGCTCGAGGACCTGCTCCATTGGCTGTGGGACGCGGCGGCAGGCCCAGTCGTCTCGGCTCTTGCGAAAGCTGGAATATGTCGGCGCGACCCGCAGCCGACAGACAGTCGTTTGCCCCGGCTGTGGTGGGTAAGCAGCGGCTGGATCAGCGTGTTCCCCATCCACGCCGCGGGCGAATATAACAACTCGAAGAAACCGAAACCAAGCGAGGGACGGCGGCACGTCTTTGACTTTTTCGTGTCGTCTTACACGCCTTCGCTCGGGGCCCTGGCATACGCGCGGAGGACAATGCACCGCATGAGCTCTAATACGGTCTCGGCTACTAATACTAACCGCCTCCCCGAGGCCGCACTGGTCAGCATGAGGTTCACGCCCGACGTGCAGCCGGACCTGGAGCACGCCGCTGGCGAAGTGCGAGAAGCGGAGGCCATCCTGCGGCGCGGATACAAAGTCACCACGCTGGGCCACCCCAGGGAGGAGTTCCAAGGCGTGCCGTACCGCAAGCCCGTGGTGCAGGCGCTGCGGACGTGCGAGGTGGCGCATTTCGCCTGCCACGGCGTCGCCGATCCGCTGGAGCCGCTCCGCAGCAGGCTGCTGCTCTGCGACTGGAAGGGGGGACGCTCGCTGACGGTCGGCTTCCTGATGCGCATGGAATTCAAGTCGTGCCGGCTCGTCAACCTCTCGGCCTGCGACATGGCCGTCAACCGGGACCTGCTGCTGCGCGAGGAGGGCCTGCACGTGGCCGGCGCGTTCCAGATGGCCGGCGTGCCGAACGTGCTGGCTACCATGTGGCCCATCGTGGACGCGGTCGCGCCGCAGGTGTCGAGAGACCTGTATTCGGAGCTGCTCGGCGGTGGTGATCGGCTACGGTTTACTGACGTTGCTGAATCGTTGCACAAGGCCGTGATGGGTTTGATGACGAGCGGCGAGAGTGTGGCGGTTTGGGGCCCTTATGTGCACTTTGGTGCCTAATCATGAGGTACGACGAAGCATGTGAGACCCTCTTGGTTTTTTCATGACCGAGAAAGCTTCCCTAAATCCCAAGTATACTTCTATTCTACGGATGAAAAACATACCTTACCTATCCCTAGTACCTAGCGTACTTGGTGTTTGAAACAACCCATATACTCCATCAATCCACAGCCGTGGGTCGGGTGGCGCAATGGTAGCGCGTTACTTTCCGGTGACATGCCTCAGGAGAGTCTCCATTCTCAGCTAGTAAAGGTTCTAGGTTCAAATCCCAGCTCGATCGAGCTATATTTCTGCTTCTTGTTCACTCATCATACTCTTCTACTTTGTTTTTACCCCGTCGATTTGATTGTCAGACAATTTGCCAAGGTGAACCGTTTCAGAAATACAGTCTAGCAATCAGCTTAGCTCCGAATGAAAAGAGGGGGCTAGTTTCAGGCCGTGTGCTGTATTTTTGCAGTTTTTCCTGCCGTATTCCGGATGCGCTGCATTCAGCATGTCACTTGGATTTCCGACGAGACTGTCCGCGATCCAGGAAAGCGCAAAGTCCCACGGCAGTAGACTAGAAATTATGATTAGCCAGAGTGGCGTACACTATGTACGATTAAGCATATATAACCCCAGAAAATTTCCACAGCTTAGAGTCTCAACCATGCCGCAAATGAACTACAACGCCCTCGGCGCTTGCTCCGAGCTCAACTCGACGGCATGCGCCGGGTAGTAGGCGTCGGCGCCGGGAGCTAGAGTAGTGGCGCCCGAGACAGGCGACACGGTCACGGGCGACGAGTGCTGCAGCTCGGCCGCGTTCGCCGGCGTCCCTATCTCGGCCGCGGGCTTGCCGCCCAGCTCGGCCAGAGTGCTGTCTTTGCCGCCTTCCCCGAGCTCCGTCGCGGTCTTGGCGCCACCCAACTCGGCCAGAGTGCTGTCTTTGCCACCTTCCCCAAGCTCAGCAGCGGTCTTGCCGCCGCCCAGCTCAGCCAGGGTGCCGTCTTTGCCGCCCTCGCCGAGCTCCGCCGCGCCTGCTGTTCCGTCGGCGCCGCCCTTGGCGCCGGCCGCCTTGCCCTGCCTATAGAAAACGTACGCGATGGCGGCGATGACGGCAATCCCGCCCAGAGCGGCGCCGATGCCGATGCCTGCCTTAGCGCCCGTGCTGAGACCGCCGCTCGAGCTGTCTCCTTCTGCACCACCTCCACTGACCCCTCCACTAACCCCTCCGGCGGTTGACGACGACTGACTGGTCACAGGACTCGACGAGGTGCCCGACGTCGAGTGGCTAGTATCTGTCTGGCTGCTCGACGACACGGTATGCGTGCCACTGGCGGTGGATCCCTGGGAGGAGGTTGGGGTGGGCGACGAGACGCGGGTCGTCGGAGTCGTCGGGGTTGTCGGGGTCGGAGAAGGCGACTGCGGCGTGGTCGACGGAACTGGGGGCGGCGACGTCGACGGGGTGGTCGTCGGCGGAGAGCCTGACCCGCTCCCGGCTATGGTGAAGGGGAAGGAGAAGTTGGGGTCGTCTGGCGAGTCCGAGTCGTAGATCTCAAACGCCAGGACGCCGTCCGACGGGAGACTCTGCGGCGGCGTCCAAGTGAACGACGTCCCCGACACCTTGCTTGCGCAGTTGGCCGAGCGTGAGCAGCATATTTAGGAGGACAGATAGACAGACAGACAGCGCCACTCACTGGCTATGGTTAGCAGGACCTGGAAGGTGGTCGTCGAGGCGCCGTGCAGCAGCACAATGTCGATAGGTCCCGACGCGTCCGACCAGGTGATAACAAATGGCTGGCCCCTCTGGACGTTGAAATCGGAGTTTGTGAGGACGGGACGCCCGAGGCAGCACTGGACGAGCAGAGCAATGGCCAGGAATTGGCGCCATATTGGAGGCTTCATCGCGTGTACTATGTAGTTAGTTAGTGAGAACTTGGCGAACCCACCATGTCGCGATTGCCAATTTTCTTGGGAAGAGAGGGGACAGAAAACGGCTTATCGGAGTGGGCAGGCCTTGGTATTTCAAATCAGTTGGGAAGCAGCCCATGCGAGACTAGGGCATGCATCGACAAGCCAGTCATCTGTCAAACCGAGCGCCACCAAATGCGCACAGGAGGGTCGCTGGCGGGTTCCATTGGGCAGGAGCGTGCGACTGAACCGGGCGAGCTGAAAGGGGGAATGATGCGAACGCGAGCCGCATGCCAAGACAATAGCGCCGTTGTGGTTATGGCTTTTCCACACAGACAACAGACGACATGTGCCGCTGTCTGGATTGCTGTTTTCGGCGGGCATGTGGCCTCAAACTTCAGCAGTCAAGGCCGCGTCGTGTCGGAATACAAATTGTCCTGAAATATGATCCAAGGAAGACAGCTTGGCCACGGGACGCGAGAGAGGGGACTGCCAGTCTGGACTAGGACGATGCATACCACGAGAGGGGTAAGCTGGAGAGGCGCGATCGGAGCTTCCAGGGGACTTGTACTGACATTGACTGGGGAACTTTGTGTGTCGCTGGGCTCTTCTTTCTCCAAAGACTCGTTCTCCCCAGCGAAAATGTCACTCCGTTGTCGAGCGGGGCGTGATCTGCCGATACGGCTGGAATAAGAAACGCGACCGAAGTGGCGCGGATTCGTGGGTTCTGAGTCGGTGGTTGGTTGCTTGCGAAAAGGTTGGTAGGGAGAGGCTCAGAGTGGGGTGCGCCAGCCTTGGAAAGGCTCGGGCCGCGGGGTACTGTACAGTACGCGAACGGGGCCGTCCCTGGACTGTCGGTTCCAAGCACTTGGGCGTGTGCGAGGTTCTACACGTGTAGTTGAGCCGCTTCATTAGCTTAACTGCAAGTTGTTCGAGATAGACATGTACAAGTACTTGTAGTCCAAGTGGCGGTACCAATATGGCCCCCTCCGATGTTAAGAGGGGCCTTACCCACATGTTGCCCGTTGCGTGATGTGATGCGTTTGGGTATGTTTTCCCGATCCAACTTGGATGTACCGACCAGGCAAACGCTGCGATCCGACGGAAGGACTATGTGCATGAGTATACGGCAATGCTACGAGCCCTCTCGTCGAAGTCTCCCTCAGCTCCGTCACCTCACAAGGAAGCCTGCTCGACGCCAATATGCCCAAGAGGCTGCCAAGAGGAGGAAGAAGGGTTCCGACCTTGATCCCGCTGTCTTGATTGTAAAATAGATACCACCCAGTAAACTTATTAGACATAGTTCTCCGAGGCCGCCTGGAAACCGGTTGGCTACTTTCTCTATTTATCTGCCACCAGGAGGGTGTGCCCGATTCTTGTAAGCTACCAATTCTCAAGCAGGAAGCAGCCAATAGCTGTATCAATGATGTTAGCGGCGATAAGAGTGAATAAGTTATCTCGCGCCATTTTGGCCACGGGGTGAGATCCGAAACAAGAGGGATCTCCGCCTTACCTCTCAGCATTATGAGCAAGTATGAGCAGGAGCATTCACCGATTAGGCTCAGCTTCATAGCGTGAATTGAGTGCTAAAGTAACTCAACTAGCTCCGTTAGACTAAGCTTGGACAACTTCTAGTATGGCTGAGCTTCAATGACCACTCTCGAAACTCAGAGCCAAATATCCCTTCCTGAAAAGCCTTATTAACCGCGCATAAGCGTCGTACATGCTCGACCCCCTGAAGCATACTAAGGAACCATGTAACCTCGCCTGTAGTTAGGCGCCCTACGTCCGATCTCGATAACGCCTTATGATCCTTGAAAACAGGGGGCGCACCCTACCTTCACTATGCTACAAGATCCGGCAACTTTACGTGACTCTCTCGGGGACGAGTTTTGGGCCTCTCTCCCTGATTGCCAAAAAAAAGGGGGCCGGATATGCGGGACTTATTCCTATCTGCCTACCCAACAAACTCTTCAAAATGGGGGCCTAGAAATAGTTCTGATAGCTGGCGTATTCACTCTCTGGTTTGAAGAGCTTCTGGTTGTAGCTACGCCAGGTGTTCCAGTGGTGGGCAACCCGTGGAACAATAACGTTATCAAATGGCTGTCTGCATAGGGGCGGGTTACGTCTTGACCTTTGTATAGTGAAGAAGTTTTTGCTTACGAAAAGAATAGTCTCGGCATTGCATTGTCAATTAAATTCCGGTATCGACGGCTGAGGATGAAGGTTGACTACTGGGGGCGGCGCAACAGATACACCCTTGCTTTGGGTATTTTCTTTAATTAACCCCTGTGAGACAATCACAAATAATCGTCGGGAATAGCTATCTGAGAATCAAATAGCCGCTCCACCGCATCCGGTACCCCCACGTTGACGGGATCGTCTAGCTTCCACGTGCCCCTAATAGCAGCCGCCTGGATGAAAAAGTTACCGAAACTAAAGTAGTTGTGGAGATCCGTTGTTGCCCGGGCCTCTACAAGCCCCTGGTCAAGCTCCGGCAGGCCGCCAAGGGACTCGAGCGCGAGCGTTTCTCCCGGGTGGAGCTTCTCGTAGGCTTTGGCGAGGTCCAGCGCGCTCGCGCTGGCCGAGTGGATGCTGAAGAAGCCGCCGTGGCCCGCCTGGACGGACTTGTCGGTCATGAGGAGCTCGATACTGAACCGGGCCGCGTCGGAGAGGTAGGTGAAGTCCCACTTTGCCGTGCCATCACCCCAGTACCGAAGCGTCGTTATCTCCTTTCCATCCCCGCCGCCCTTGTTCTTGCCGATGTGGGCAATACCGACCATCTCGCTAACGGCAAATTCGCCCAGGATGCCCGTGAACACGTAGACAGGCTTGACGCCAGACGACAGGTCGACCTGGCGGCGGAAGGACAGGTAGGCGTCGTAGTGCTCAAATTCGCCGAAGCCGATCTTGCGCCAGTCCGAGTTCCACGAGTGCGCGTGGTAGACCTTAATGCCGGCCTCCTCGACGGCGCGCAACAGGGCCAGCTGCGCGTCGAGGATGGCGTCGGGATGCGACGCGTACGAGCAGATGACGGCGTCGACGCCCGCCACGGCCCGCTGCAGGGCCGCCCGGTCTGTGTAGTGGTCGCATTGCACAAAGGATTCGAGTCGTGCCAGGATGTTGGGCGCTAGTTTAGACGGCGTGCGGCCAAACCCGCGGATCTGGTTTCCCTTGGCGAGCCCATGCTCGGCGAGATACTTGCCGAGATTGCCCGAGATGCCGGCGATGAGGATCAGCATGTTGGGTCGAGAGGGTGGTTTGTTGGTGATATTTTGTACAAGTATTAGTGTATGATTTGATATAGACGTGATGATGGCGAAACTGTCAACCAGCAGGCTACTGGAGATTTTATAAGAATGGCGATAAGAGCCACTTAAGCATCCCCGT